ATGCACAAATAAATTCATACCAAACAAATAAGGACACCAAATATTGCAAATAGCATTAAACGTACATTTTTGAAATCGCCAATTAGCCAAGCAATGGCATTAAAGGAGTTATTTATTAGATAGAACTTGTGTAAAATACTTACCATATCATTAGATGTATTAAGAGTTGCGTTACTAAAACCCATGTGATGACTATAAAACTTCCACATCTTTGATATCACATACCACATCTTTGGTAAGGTGGTAGTTTTGTAACTAAAAATGAAAGTTTCTGATATAGTAGCGTCATCTTATTGCTACATACATACATGGCACGTGATTTGTATCGCATATTCACAATAAATCGAATAACTCCTTTATTTTGCTAGAACAAAAAAAGTGCAAAGTTATGAACTTCTTAGATTATAATTAGGGTAGTACGTACTTACTTATCTATACTTATAATAAAATTCTGAGTCGAAACTGTACATTAAATATTTTTTTGGAAAATCTTATGAAATAGTCATTATTATCGATACAGAGGCCAAATCTGTAGTTTTTAGAATTTTTGTTTGTCAGTCTGTTTGTTTGTTTGGGAACGCATCATGAGAAAACCACTGGACAGATTTTGATGAAATTTGGTATGATGGTAGCTGGTCATCCGGGTCAACATACAGGAAACTTTTTACTATGGCAAAATATCTCATCTCTGAGAAATCTATACTAAACGTTAAAACGTAACTGAGAACGAATCCCAGCGGAGTGAAGGTGAGTCGCTAGTATCTTATAATTAAGTCAATATAATGCAATAATGAGTACTGCAGTTGGAATGCACTTTAAAGGAATTAAAGGGAGGCAATTAGAATAATCATTAATATATAAATCAACGTGTACATTTCAACGTGTATTTGATCTATAATATAATTATGTAGTTATTATTACGAATACTCGACTAATTAAGAGATTCACCTGGCGTCGATATGACCCATCTGTTGTACATGGATTTGAAAGTGGCCACTCGCAATATAACTGTACTGTCATAATTAATTATATATGCAAAGAATAAATATATTTTGATGCTGTCTTTAGCTTTTTAATTTGTTTTTAAAAACACACTGAAACATGTGTGTATTTGGTATGATAACATTACGAAAAATAGAAATTTACCTCTCCAAATCATTTAGCAAGAGGGCACCAAAAAACAAAAGGCGTCATTTCTAAAGAAATATTTTCTAAAGAATAGCAAGTAAAAGCACCTATAAATAGAACTTAATATTAATTCAACTTTGTGGGTGGAATATAAATAAATATCTATAAATGGCTTCGTAATATACCGTGCAGTTTGTTTACGTGGTACATGGTGTTTGACGCTGATAGAGAACTCACAACGTTACATGTGAAGAGAGCTCCATTCATTCAACGAAAAAAAAATCGACATGGAAATACCTACTTACTGTTTCTATTCGTATGTCTGTGTTATGTGTATCCATCACTCAACAAACACAGCTATTTCTTATTGATGAGATTGATTTATTATTTTATTGTATTTCATTTAAAATACAATAATATACATCAATCTCATCTAGTCTAACTATTATATATATAAAAATGAATCCCTATTTCCCTTGGTGACGCCATCACGCGTGAACGGCTGGACCGATTTAACTAATTTTTTTATTGTGTTTGTTATTGTCAAGAGAAGGTTCTTATGAAAGAAAAAATTGCGCGGAAAATTATAAAATTTTGAAAATACTTATTTAAGAATACATAACAACCATATCAAAATTTATATGGCTAACGCTGGGTAATAACTATTTATATATATTAAAAACGTACCTAGCGTTGAACCCGAGCGAAGCGACGGTGAGTCATCATCCAAATAGTACTTAGTAGGGATTTGGGTTACAATAAGAACACATAGTTCATATGGCACAATTTTTCATTTAAAGGGTATTCAGTGGGATTATATTAAATTAGTAATAAAATCAGAGAAGGTTTTCAAAGATCAACTGCAACCTGTGTCAACTTTTTCCTTTACTTAAACTTATAGCATACAATCACGATGCAACATAAAATTATTATTTATATAGGTACATATTTGCAAAGGCAGCGTTAATCATATAATGATAAAATAGGTCACAAAAACAGCCTCGACGAAATGCACTATCATTTCTAGTACTTTGCGTTGACATTCTTGATTACAACGGAACTCATTTCGAGAGTACCCTTTCGACGCTAAAATCTACCTTTACTTAAGCATAAGCAACCTAAGGTAGATTTCATTAAATAGATTAACCTCGATCTGATATCACGACTATATATTATTAATAACAAACTTTTTATACTTTAATTACTGTGATACTGTTATTCCTTGCTCTTAATAAACTTTTAACTACATTATTGACTAGGAACACGATAGCTTGTACTAAACAAACTCTCACTCGCAAGTCGCATGTAAGTAAAACTTATAAAGTTTGCAATGTATGCACTACTTGTAGTAAAACAAAGAGATAAGTTTGATCACCGTGTTTTAATAAAGCTAAGCTTTAATTAAATTACTTTCAGATTAATAAAATACATACGTATATTGAATATCAGTGGATCACCAAAAAACATAAACGTTTTTTATTGAAATATCATTAATGAATAGAGAAATAACTAAAAAGATGAAAACTATTTGACATAGGAACATAGTATTAAGTAGTCGGGTTATTTTTTTATTTTTATAATTTTTATTTATTTATAGCTTTTTAGTTTTAGTATTTTTTTAGAAATTCAATGTTTAAAGTTTTACGAGTATTTCACAATTTCTTATCCCAAATTACTGTTAAAACATATAAGTTGTATATATTTTTGTGAATGCCTCATAAAAAAATCCGCCATTTTTATTTATAACAATATTCGTATATCCCTATGATACGAATCCACCGACATATGAATCATCTAAATCAGTTAAGTCCTTTCGTTATTATAAGAGCACATTGAATCGGACATACATACATACATACATATATATATATATATATATATATATATATATATAAACTCTGCTCAAATACATAACCCTCCTGCGAACTTCGCTGCAGTCGGATAAAATGCTATATCAATTATTAAATATGTATTAAAATATATTGTATATAAAAAAAAAATTATATTAAAATGTTTCCTTAACCAAAATTGGGACTAAGGTCAACATCAACTTATTCACTTTACTTGAGCATTATTAAGATTAAAATTGAATCTGCAGAATTTAACACAGTTATAAAAGGCTCTGGCGTTTGAAATCGTGGCGGTATAATATGAAAGCTAGAATACTCGCCTGTGATCTGGTCTGTATAAGTAAGTTAAATGACGATCTAAATTCACAACTCCAATTTCTCGGTAGTCGCAATTATTGCTGGTGGTTTACATCTTTTAATGGAACACATTTAATAAAGTAAATTGGATGACAGGCCGAGGAAAGGTGGAAAGATTCCAAAGAAGAAGAAGGACACCTAGATTAGTAGGGAATGTATACTGCAAAGTCCATTTACCTTGAACAAAAGCTGAATCTAAGCCGTTGTCGGGTGATCGGCGCTCTATTGGAAAGCACTAACCAATTAAAAGTTAAAAACTCCAGCTAATAAACGTGATAATAATTTTAGATAACAATTGTTGTGTACCCGAATTGCTACATCAATTTTAAAGCGCATTCGTATCTCCCATTTTGCTTTTGCAATACGATATTTTAAATTTATAATGAATGTATGTAAATAAAATTAAAATAGGTTATAATATTTCAATTATAATTATATTTAATCTTGTATATGTGAAAGCTGTTTAAACATATTATTTACTGTTCCCAGTAGTTATTTCATTTTGCTTTAAAGTATTAATTAATAGAGTAAGTGAGGGATTTATTCAACATAAATTAAGTGATGATTTAATGTGGAATCATTAATACATTTAATTTTTTACAATCAATACAATAGATAGGTAGTAGGTTCTAATAGTGCAATAATAAGAAGGCTGATACTATCTTTTTATTTGTTCATTATTTATTACTAAACGTTATTAGGTACCTGTTTTGGGTATGTTATATCAATGAGGTAGAAATAATAACAACTTATGTCTCCTACTTTAAAGGCTTCATATCAAATTGCTTATGAAATTTGAGTCAAGAAAATAATTTGTCTTGTGAGTAACAAGTGCTCCTGGAATGTCATGGATGAATTATCGTCATTGTCGTGGATTTGCAGGTTAGATACCGAGCTTTTACATTAACAACTAGCGGCTCAGGGTCGCTTCGCTCGGGTTTGTCGCTAGGTACGTTATAAATATATATAATAATAAATAGTTATTAGCCAGCGTTAGCCATATAAATTTTATTTATTTTTTTATTAATAATATTGACAAATATTGACATAAATATTTATACGATACTAACGTCACTCAATTGTTTTGCCTTCCCGGAACCTCTCCACTAACACTTAAACTTTATGGTACCTATGGCATTAAAGTTCAAATTGACTTTTAAGTATTATTACTAATCTTTTGTAAGGGAGTATAGAAAAGTGTTGTTTTTAGACTTTTTCAGGCAATTTTTTAAATTTTTCTCTCCGTAAGAACCATCCTCTTACTTCAAGGAATATTCTAAAAAAAGGATTAGCGAAATCGGTTCAGCTGCTCTCGAGATTTGCGCTTACCAACACATTCAGCGAGTCATTTTTATATTATAGAATATTTAGTTAAACCTAAGATACTAAAGATCACATTGGAATATTAAGAGGAATTAATTATTAGTAGGTACCTAGTATTGGTTCATATATTATCAATACAGGTAGCAATTTCTTTTGATTTTGTAATGTTTATAAATTTTATTAATTAAGGAAATAAACTATAAAATGCTATGATTAAAAGAAATATTGACGCTCTACATGTACTTAAATAATTTAACATAGCAATAGGTAATATAAAAATAATAGAGATAAAGTTCAAAATCGTTTGACATTTATAATTAGTACACATACACAGGCTTGCGCATGGAACAGGATCAGTGCGAGTTTCGGGCTTCGGAACAACTGTTGAACGCATCTGCGCCTAACGCACCCTGCATTCTGTATAATAAGAGTGTGGGCAGACCGCGGGCCATTCCTGTCGGAGTCTCCGAGCGCTGTGCTCGCTCGTTCCCGCTCTCCTCGCACTGGCGCACAACTTACGTTCTCGGAAATATTGTTCACGTTTCGTTCGCGATGAAGTGCGGTATTACGTTTTGTGCCCTTTTATTATCTTTTTGGACTGTGTATGCTCGCGAAATTGACTTTAAGAAAGAGTTAAAAGCTCTAACTGAACAGATTGAATCGTTGAAAACTTCGCAAGCCTCTGATGTTTCCCGCCTGAATAAAGAAATCGAAGAACTGAAGTAAGTTACAATTTAATTATTTATGTTACTTAAAATTTAATTATTTTAATTAGCATTATTTTAGTTATTGGTTCTTGATCATAATAATTATATTAAACTTTGACCTATCTTGATTCTAAAGCTATAGCATAATAAAAAAACCAGCATATATTACAATAATAAATGATTAACAATCAAAAAATTAATAGTGTTTAAATTATCTAGTAAGCTTAGCGCTTATTGTTTGTATTGCGAATTAATAAAAAAAGCTAATGCGAATTATATCTTCAAAGTATTCTTACGAATTAACTATTGTGCATATAATATTATGTAGTTTGAGCGTTTTTAGGTTTTCTTAAATGTAGCTAACATTTTTAGTTTTATCTGTATAGCTATTATTATAATATGTTAATAATCACAGAAAGAAGATAATTAAACAGTAACTTCGATTAATTAAACAGTAACTCCGATAAAGAAAATTAGGAAAAGATATGGACATTGTTTATTTCATTTAAAACCTTAATTAAAAAGTATGACTCCATATAATTATATATGTATAATATAATAAATGTAATTGCACCTAAAGATATCTATATTAATTAAATATGTCTAGATGACATATTTTACTATTTATAATAAGCTTTTACCAATCACTAATTATATTTATGATTATAAAAGGTTAATAATTTTATAAAAGATTTTTTTATAATAAATGTTTTTTTTTTATTATTACTCAAGTGCTTACTAGATTCACAAAATATAGTGTCTAATTATGAATTTTAAAATTTTTGTACTTTCGTACTTATTTTTAAAATTTAATTTGTAATGGAGAAATAATATTATACTTAAGGTGCGAATGCATTTATATGATAAAAGTTTTTGCCTGCGGTTGCTCTTGCTAGATAAGCGGGTTGAGCTTAAAATTATCCTATTCTTTTCAGTGATTTAAAAGCTAAAAAGTAACAAGTATTATAAAAAAAATATTTATTTCAGTGGTGGTTTCTACAATCAAAGTAATTTATCGCTCTATGTCTACACGATATACCTATCATGTGAAAAGTGAGCGAATGAACGGAGAGATTCGCCTGTTTCGACATTAATCTCCGGTTAATTGCGCTCGAGATCGATTTTCATCGACAAGTAGGCATTAGTTAAATATTATCTACTAGCGACTAACCCTCGCTTCCTTGGGTGCGTCCTTAGGTGCCTTTTGTAGGTTACTGACTTCAATAGTTATTTACCACTTATTTTTATCACAATAAAAAGTAGTGTCTATATTGAGAGGCGGTAATGTAGCTTTCTATTATAGTAACAAGTTTCAGAGATTACCTACTCCCTTACATTCACATTTCCAAATTTTACCTTTTCATAGTAAGTATCGATGCAGAACCAGGTCAAAAAATATATATGTAGAACGTTCTAATTATATAATAATGAATTACTACGGGTATTTTATAAATCACTGTTGATCTTAAAAATAAAGTTTGTGGGATTGTTACATTTAAATTCTATCTGCATTAAAATGACATAATTTCAGATAAAATTTATTAAGGAAACATTAAGTAGGTATAATTTCTCCCTGAAATCTTGCAAACGTGTCATAATACAAAAATTGAAAGCCCAAGAGGTATTTGAAGAGTAAAGAAAGAGTGTCTCTTACCAAGAACCGGGTCATCTGATCGATGTCATTTTAAATATACTTAAAATCTACTTCTATTACTTACAATAGTAGGGACTTTGTTCAGTGCCGCTGGATGATTTACAGCTAATCAATTAAAATCAGATATAATAAATTAACAATAAAACAAATACATACCTGCAATACTACAAGTAGATATACTCGTACTTAATTCGGATGAACGTTTCTTTAGTTAAATAACATGTAATTAAACCATAGACATCTACGTCTATGAATCGGACTTTGTCGAAAATGTCAAAATTTTATTTGACGTAAATACATATACATATATCTCACTAGCGCCTACCCACGCTTCGCTCGGGTGCGCCATTAAGTACGTTTTAATTTTATTGAGTTTAAGATAAAATTTGTAGTTAGTTGTTATAACGAGTAACTTAGGCTAATTTACTCCTTATAACATCAGCTATATGCCAGTGAAAGTCCCGTCAAAATCCGACCCAACCGGAGATTAGCCGGAATAAACAGATAGACAGACAGACAGGTAAATTTTTAATATCTGGTTACGTGTATCGTACCTACATGTCTTCGACTGCATAATACTGTGTTTCCTCGCTAACTTGTTCTATGACAACACGTTTAGCTCTTTTTGTAGTGACCCTTCTTGCTGTGCTAGCGGTCCCGGGTTCGAGTCCCGCTGTGGGCATTCGTATGTGTGATGAACACGAATGTTTGTACTCCAGTCATGGGTTAAGTATTTAAAGTTTTATATGTATGTGCAGTGTATAAAGTACCTGGCATCCAAAACATAAGCATCGTATGATCGTAGCTACCATGGAACTAGATGGTGTTGTGTGTTAATGTTCCAAGTCCCAACATATTTATTATAAATCATTTGTTTATTATCTTTTCAGTCAGCTTTGTTTATTTTTGTAATTTTTTTTAACTTTTTAGATAATGTCAGTTAGACATTTTTAGTTTCATTTAACAAATTCTTATCCTAAGCGATTTTTAAATATATAAGTCGTGTATGTTTTTGTAATCGCCTCTTAAAAACCTATATTTTGATACTCCATAGATTCGGAATATATTTTTTTTTTCAAGACACGTCTTAGTACCTAGGATCCGCCAATTATATTTTTTATGAAATTTATGTACCCCATGACAGTCGCGTTATAAAGACGAATCTGACGGCGTATGAATTATTAAATGAAAAGAAATGAAACTTTGTTCAAATAGACTTATTACAAGCACTTTGAATCGTCAATTTAATTAAAGAGCGTCAGTATAGTCAGTTCGTGAGGAAGCTACCACCGGCTCGGAAAGCAGTTCGAAAGAGAAACTCAACAGTTGCTCTTTTAAATATCTAAGTTACATTAATAAACATAGTATTATAGATAGCCCGCATATGAATAAATATGTCTTAATTCACACATTTCCATCCACAAGAAACTCTTCTGTCTTGCTCTTTGCTCAATTATACCTATAAGTATTTTTTATTTTTGTTGTTGTTTGTGGAATCTTATTATACGAGTATATGCGACCGGCCTCAGGCCCATGAAGGATTTATGCACCTCTTGGAGTCGAACTCTCAAAATCAATTAAGCCGTTTAATAATTTCGAGGGAAGATATCGTTGGACATACATACATACATTACTCCATACAGGTCAAACACATAACCCTCCTTAGTGATTCGCCGCAGTCGCGTAAAAAATATAATAATTGACATAATAGATTCAGAAATGAACATTCTGCTACTGTTTTAAAAATACCTATCCAAATGTCTGTATATTTTAGTGTCGCTTTGGTATTAAATAATTAAGGCAACCAAATTTATAAAATTGCAAGTAGTTTAATCAGTTATTTATATCGGCCTTCTCCAGCTCGTTTCGACGGTAGGTTTATTTTTTGAGCAGAGACGTTCGTATTTTTATACTTTCTGTTAAAAATACATGATATATTACAATTCATTCCTCAAAGTATTCAACGGTAAAATTATTTATACATTCAATATTCAGAAGTTTCGTAATTAGTAGTAAATTGATCGTTAAGCTTGCGGTATCAGAATTTTGGAAACACCTGCGCTAGTGGGCTCGACAACTTCAGAACTGGCTTTTTTGCAACGCGCACATACCTAGTAATCTGCGGTCGACCAAGTGCATACATTAATATTTAACTGAGATATAGAGTACTCGGAGTTCGACGCAGCACTTTGCCGCTTTAAATCCACCGCTCAAGATCTTAGCAAGACGGCTGGTTTAACAAGTTTCGCAAAACTGCAAACGCGAACCTCTCAGTATACTAACAGAATGGGCATACAAGGAATGCAACGATGCCAGCTGTTGGCTTGTGTTTTGTTAATCAATTTTTCACAATTTTATCTTACTAGGAGTCCTGCTGAGGCTGTCATCTCTTGAGCCTTATGGCTATCGTACTTTACGTCGAAGTTTATATCGTGCATGGCATTATTTTATATCTTTATAAATATATTATAGTAAGAGCTCATTGGTAGCTTATTTATATCTAGGCACCTGCTTCGACAAAAACTCGTTTTGTAAACTGTTGTTTTAAATTTTTGATAACGCTAAAACACTAAATCTTAAGTATTATCGTCTGGATTGATATTTTATTGATTGTACTATACTATAATGTTTCGGTTCATCTTACAGCTAATTTATCGCTTCTACCTAATCATCAGTTCGCATCTTATTGAACTGAGTATAGGCTATTTTTTACGAAGTACAGGGATGGGGGTGAACATCTGGCTTTAATATGTTTATTTATATTCCTACCGGAAATAATATACTGCCAGCCCCCATCCGGAAGGCCACGTGAATAGGGTGACAAAATCCATACTACATATTTTAATAATTATTATTATTTTATAAATGCTATAAAGGATTTCTTGCAGACGTTAATATAAAAGATGTAAATGTCAATCATTTCAATTCCGTAATAATAGATTCAAATCTACTTTTATATTTGGATAAAAATATTTGGATTAAATGTATATTTTACTACTACTTTCACCCTTTTCAGTGTAATCCGGAATAATTTGAATTATTAGTTAGTATCATTTTTTTTCTTGAAACACGATTATTGAACAAAGCGCACCTTCAATAAGAGTACCTACTGAAGTCTTTGTTCTGAATGAATCGAGTTGCAACTCACTGTACTAGCGCATATAAAATATTTCCAAATTCTTCACATTGAATCTTTTATGTGTCTTTCTGTGTGTGTGCGTGCGTGTGTGTGTGTGCGTGTGTGTGTGTGCGTGTGTGTGTGTGCGTGTGTGTGTGTGTGTGTGTGTGTGTAACATAAGCGTTCTTTTATTTTTTATTCAATAGTGACGAATTTTAGTGACCTATTGTACATACATGCCACAAAGGTTTATGAAATATAATAGATGACATCCAACTATAAAAAAATGATACGGAAATTCCTTATTTTGTATACAATTGCAGGTAGAACTAATAAACTTATAGGTGTAATTAGATTTAAGTAAAACATAAAATAAATACTTATGTCGTAAAAACGTATGTATCTATAGCTATACCACTTTACATCTAAGGCCAGGGTCGCTAGTTTGAATGTAACGTATTTTGATACTGTCATATTATAAAACTAGCGACTCACCCTCGCTCCGCTCGGGTTCGTCCCTACTTACGTTTTAACGTTTAATATAGATTTCTCAGAAATGGAATATTTTCCCGGTAAAAAGTATCCTGTATGTTGACCCGGATAACCAGCTATCACCATACCAAATTTCATCAAAATCTCTCAAGTGGTTTTTCCGTGATGCGGTAACAGACAGACAGACTCGGCTATTTATGCTTAACAGATTCGGCTTAGATACAATTTTATTATATGTATAGATATATATATATATATATATATATATATATATATATAAAAGTTAACAAGTTTAGTCAAGTTCACAAATTTCACTAGGAGATATAAAAATATTAGCTAATAAGTACTATAAATAGTACATATATAATTTTCTTACATTTCTCATTAAGTTAAGCTGGTATTCCTAAATCATGATTGCTTTCTACAAATTTAATAAAAATGAACGAATATATTAATATTGAATATTAAGAAATAGTTACAACCTACGAGTTTCTATCGCATAGCCAAAAAGCAGGTGTTATCTATACAGAGAATGTGGTTAACGTTTTATTTGACGGTCAACTAAGCACAAGTATCGATACTACTTTCAAATTTTTTTATACTTATCAGTGAAGTGTAAGTTATATTTTTAAATCAATCTTTAGTTTACTTGTTATGGTGGCGCTTTATTGCGTGTCATTAATTTGAGTATATGTAAATATGTAAACACGTAAAATTTTAAGATAAATCTCAACATTTGTTTTAAATATTTGGTAAAATAAAAAATAGCACCAAATTTCTAGGTAAAATTATATAATTTGAAAATAAGACTATTCATGCAGAAGTAATTAAAACGTATACGTATAATATTGTTTTATTGTGCCTTGCGAACGACAAAACAACCTCAGGTGGTTCTATAAAATCGTAATAATTGTAAATGTAAACAGCTTTAGTAATAGTATTAGAGTCCAATTTACCTTTATCATTCCATCTATTTATCATTCGGAGTGCATTGTTGAAATGAACGGATTTGAACGCATTTATAAAGTCCTACCTACCTAACTATACATTAGGTATATAGTATTATATGATCTGTGATATAGGTAAATATTGTATTGTTATATTAGTAAAACATAAATAAACACATTTGTTTTATATATTTTAAATATTTTTACTAATTTACGTCTAATATTAAGTTAAATTAGCACAAGTCGGTATATATAACTTACGTATAAAATAAATTACCTAACCTATACAAATAATAGGTAGTAAAAGGTAAAATAAATTGTGGTTGGTAATAAGTTTGAGATATGAAAAATAGGTTGAACAAACAAGCTATTTAAATTTATCACAGTGCAAATAGCCAGTAAGTGAATGTTTTTTTACAACTTCTATAGGTGCGCTTAAAGTTTACTTTCTTGCTTATCACTAGATAAATTATAGCGAAACTTTATACACCTTCTTTAAATATTGACCTAACTAATCATATATACTTATTATAGAGGCAGAACCCGCGGCTTCGCTCTCGCTAAAACTACAAATAAAAAACTCTTTGCCTTTACGCTATTAATAATATTCTAATAGCTTTAATGATTTTCAAATGTGTATGATGGTGAATGTGTATGATTTTGACTCGCGCATCGAGGCTTCCGTACCGTCGAATATTGTGTTGTTTTTACTAACATATTTACACACAAATATATTTTTTACGTTTTCGTAATACATATTTTATTATTTGCAAAACAAATGTTAAGACACGTGTTTATTTAATTGAATTGAAGATCATTAATACCAAGTTTCAAGTAATACTGATCATAAAATATTTTTTTACCCCCAAACATTATAATATTTTATCCTTTTTAAAAGATGAATATCGAAAAAATTTGATATAGATACGTGTTGTTTTATTTTTCACTAGCATTACCCGCGGCTTCACCCGCGTTCAAACTACTAAAAAAGCAAACTCTTTGGCTTTATGTTATAACTAATAATCATTTGATGGCTGTAATGATTTTAAAATGTGCGAGTATGATATTAAGTCGTGCATCGAGGGTTCTGTACCGTCGAATATTGTGTTGTTTTTACTAATATCTTTATTCTTTACAAACCATTTTTTTACGTTTTTACAATAAGTAATTGTATTTCACCTTTATGTCACCCTCCATCCAGCCTTCCAACTATCTCCACACAAAAAATCACACTAATCCGTCATTTTGTTTCGACGTGAAAGAAAGACAAACAAACAACGAACGAATGACCAAACAAACAAACCAACACACTCACATTTATATAATATAATAAAGTACGGAAGTATGAAAAAAATGTCGTGTATATTAAACCTAATTTACAATATGAATTTAGTAGCATTAAATACGTCAATAATACGTACTTTGATGGTGTTAATCTCATTTAGCAATGAATTTCACGCGTGTACTTAAATTTTCTAATTTCATCATGCATGATTTGGCGAAACGAGAATATTATAATAAATCAGGTTTTTCTCGAGTTTTTAATAACATTAATATTACGCAATTAATTTCCAAATGCAAATAAAAAGCGAAATTAGTCGCGCTGCGCCATATTGGCTGAATAGATGTGAACTACTCAGTAATTTTTGTATTTGCTTTAAGATTTCATAAGATATTTTCCTAGCTATGAAAGTTGAAAGGTATATGATTATTGGAAATGTTTTCATTGTTCTTATAACAATTTTCATTTTATAATTTCAACTATTAATGCATTTTAAATGCGGCTTTTTATTTTCGAAAATCGTAGGTAGGTATGTATAGACTATAATAGCTAAAGAGTAGTGTCTTTGTTTTTGAACGTCAAGCAATCAATTGAGGAAACAGATTACACAAGTATCTCAGTAGCTTAATGAAATTATTTGTCATGGGAGAGAATTTAATTGAGAAACATACTGCACGAGGTAATGGCCATTATTTTAATACCCTCTTTACAAATACCTACCTACCCAAAACGCTCATAATAATGACATAATTTGTAAATACCTAAGTTAGTAACGGACAAAGTAGTTAAAACTAAACTTAATCTATAAATGTATTTAAAACATGTTTTTTTTCGTTTTAATTATGTATTTTTATGTATATATAATAGGGAGCAGAGGGGAAACTCGGTACGAGCGCTCTTGCGTAGCATTGCATCCTGTTCGTTATACCTTTTTAATTTCACCCACCGACGCGACATAAGCATGTACCCATAGCAATTTCATATTATGCCGATGAAGTTGACCGTCGGTGACGGCGCTATAAGTTCACCATTAATTACTTTTATCAGAATGCAACTTTTAAAAACGTGATTTTTTAATCAAGGAAGCCTTGAAAAATTAAATTAATCAAAACTTGATTTATATAGATTTCTTATATGTTCTTCCTGCATTTAGTACGATAGAAAAGATTAATACCTAATGAAATAATTACTAAATCAACAATGCCTAAGTTAAATACATACAAATTATTTCATTTTTTCTTTATTTCTAAAATATGTGATTTCTTTAGACAAAACTCGGCGGCTGGCTGTACCAACAACCATGAGCGCAACGAAAAAGCCACCCTCGAATGGGCCAAGAGTTCCATGAAAGAACTCCGTATCGAGATGCATGAGCTTAACCGCAGCGTGAACAGCTCTCAACTCTTGCGCCAATTGCACACTATGCGAAATCAGGTAAGTTCTTACAATTATCCGTTTGGTCCGAGGGTAAATAGCTACTTAGATTCTCAATTGATATTACCCTCAGCATCCAGGGGATCTCGAATGATGCACAAAAAATACAGCTAGACAGACAAACGACGTTGTTCTTTTTAAATACCTGCACTGGACCGCCACTTTGACTCGGGTTTTTTCACCAATTATTATTAAACGTTTTGAGCGATTCTTTTTCAACCACGTTTATTAAAACAGAAACTCGATAAGTTAATTGTTAAGTGCAAGTCGGATACGCGCCTAGGTGCCATACCGTCTTAAAATTTATTCGTGTAACTTATTTACCAATAAAGCCAGACTTTATACTGTAGCCAAATTATTTTTTATTATTATTTTTTTCATTTTCATGTACATGTTTCTCCCTCAATTGGTCTATTTTTAACTTTCAAATATATGGAGTTACTATTTAATATATAATATCAGCACGATTTTTGTAAAAGTGGAAACCTATTACAAATCAAATGACACAGATAGGACAGACTACCTGATGGACGCTCATCCGTAAATCCTAACCAGAGCCTTTAAGAAGAACAAATCTAAAAACTTTCTTTAGCTTTTAATATCGATATATAAAACTATTATACAAATACCTTGATATTGTTGTTTTACGTTACTTATAGAGAAATGCAAATAAGCAAGCAAACAGTATATTTTTCTACATTTCAAAATAATATAATCACAATTGATACCAATTACAAAGTGGTGAATTTTGTATGTCAACTATTCAGAAAGGGAAAAGTTACATTTAAGCTTTTATATTATGTTTAACTTCATTCCAATATCGGATATCTCAAACAAACAAAATTGCAATATTTCGAGCAATCCTTGTTTTATTTTTTTAACTGCAGATTCGGTAGCTGAAATTAAATTTCATAACACGAATACAGCAACTTTTCTGAAAGGTCTAGTTTACCTATAAAAATATTGTTAAAATTGAAATCTATTTCAGATACAGCGTGCTTTGTCTGAGACTTTGGATTTGATTCAGCTTTATCGGACTCATGAGGCTCGCGTGGACAAGCTCGACAGCGAGGTGGGCCGCCTTAAGTACGAGGCCCAGGAATCGCGAACCGCAACAGCGCAATTACGCACGCATTTTGGAAAACTTTCTAAAGAGGTAAGTAACTATTTAGTTTAATTGTAGTAAAATCATGTATTATGTGTATTAGTTTTTATGGACATCAGCATATAATAAGTATTTAAACTCCCTTTTACCACAGCAATACTAGAATAGCAAAAACTGCAGCATCTTAATCGTTAAATAAGCTTACAGTTAAGAGTTAACGTATACCATACTACCACCGATAGTGCTTATGCATTTATTTTTATATTAAAAGGTTATTTACGTGCGAGGAAGTTGGAGCTACAAAATTTAAGTTAGCATTGTACATTTAATATACAGCGTACCTACTGCATTAAATGCGGTTTATCCAAAGTTACTAAAAAGAATGCGTTTTTTTTATATTAAGAGAATTAAGATTAAGAGGAAGGAGAAGAATATTGTATTAAATAAAAAGATCTGTATAGTCAAGATTATGGCGTAGAAATAACAAAATTATAACTTCTTATAATCTCGGCCTATTGTTGTTGTTGTTGTTACTTTGACTTCAAAAAAGGTGTAGGTATTTACTTAATTAGGTTGTATATTTTTTGTGTAATATTCATGCGATATCTTCCAATGCGCCAATTATGATCTGCTTTTCTTTATTCTTCTATAAGTTACTCTTCTTTTTAGGTTGTTGTCTAGCGTGGTCACATATAAATCAAAAAATGGAAGGAGTAGGAGAGTTTTTTGCTAAAAAATAATTCCTTCAGATTTTGTAATTACATTGATAAATCTATTTATATTAAAGTTAATGATGGTTGTCATTATATTTTATGTACTAAAATTAAAATATTTGTATTAGTTATCTATGTAAGGAAGTACGTTTTATATCCTAAATGCAAGTGAGATCAAACGTAACTTCTAATAACAGGTGCTGACCCTCTTCACGCTCTGTGGTTATAACCGTCGCCAACCGTTGCGCCTGGGACTATTTACCGGTCAATATGATTGCAATGGAATATAATTTGAATAATTAAATAGAAAATTACATCTTTTAATAAATAACATAAAAGATTTACATTTCTTAGTAAAATTTTATTTAAAATCGAGTTATTGATCTACAGCAAACGATTCGTATATGTTGTATGGGTAGGGCAAAAAAACGAATTGTCGCGAAATCTGAATGGTATGCACCTGCGCCACTCACACCGCGGAAATTCCATTGATGCAATGCAATAATAGCGGGAATGGAATGGGAAACGACGAACAGGCGGCAAACGGGGCGGGTCTCATGGAATACCTCTGCTTTATCGAATGCATGTTGATTGTTGAGTCTGGGAGCTTATATTAAAATAGAGATCATCTATAGAATACAACTTACATTCCGCAACCAAACGGCAAACTTTAATATCATTCTAAAGCCTTACAAAAGCAACGGCTTTTATAAATATAATAGCAAACTTAAGCTGGTAAGATTTACAGTGTGGCAATATCATGCGTGATAATATTTTATCAATAATAATATCGATATAGAATAACAATGAAATAAATATAAATATGAAATATAATTTCCATTGATTAGAAAAGAACTGTAGAAGCGCCATTATGTTTAAAAAGGAGAACCGTGAGAAATTATTGCTTGAAAGCTTGCAAGAACCCGCTTACTCGTAAAATGTTGTTCAACCAACCCATTTAATGCAGACAAAAAGTAAGAGGACCTCACACCGTACGAAATAATTTACACGAAAATTGATCCCCGGCAGTAATTAATTAAGCTGACGTGATTAAGTTTTTGTCACATGGTGTAAGCTCGTATTCAAATACGTTCCCACCTCGATACAATTACTACATATTGATAAAATGTTTATTGTTGCTGTTAATTTGACTCAATCAGTTTAGTTTTTTACAATGTTTTGAAAAATTTAATAATAAAATAATATAATTAAGGTTACTTAATATATGTATATCAAATACACGATTGATGAGGACTTTAAAATATTTATTGTTTAATTCCATTGTTGTCGAACAAAAGCAAAGTTATAAATAAGATTGGAATAATTTCTTTGTCAATTCTATTTTACATAATATATCTTTATAATGTACGCGCCTTTAGAATAAAATTGATCAATTTTAAGATCTTTGATCATTAAATCACATGCTAATTAAACTGGAAGGTGGACAAAAATGACTAATAAATTCTCGTCAATTTCATTATTGCGCTTTGAAATTATGATAAATGTTTATAATTATTAGTACCACACTAGAATTAGAGAATCAAAAATGTAACGCAGAATATTACCGATTTTTTCAAAACCGACTATCCTTCTTCGACTTGCTCCTTGTGTCATCCACTAATAGTAGATTCGTAGTATTAATTTTATTCATATTAATTTTAACTTAATGGAAGCATATTATTTAATTAAACGAAAAAGTCTTAATATTATTCAATCATATGTTTTATGTGTACCTATATCTAATTCAGAAGTATTAGATACTAGCAGAGCCCCCAGATTTGCTCGCGCTAAAACTTCAAAAAAATACTCTAAGAAGGTAGTTTCATACAAACTTTCATCCCCTATTTTACCCCTTTATACGATGAATTTCGGAAAATGCTAAAAGACGTACTTATTTAATTTTATTGAAGAGCAATTAATAATGCCAAGTTTCAAGTTATTCTGATCATAAATATATTATTGGATTGTATTATAACGTGTATTCCCGTGGGAATTAGATAATCTCCCGTATTCTAATTCTAAAAAGTAGCCTATGTCACTCTCTAGCCCTCCAACTATCTCTACACAAAAAATCACGCCAATCTGTCAGTCCGTTTTGACGTGAAAGAAGGACAAACAAACAAACATACAAACAAACAAACAAACAAACACACTTTCACATTTATAATATTAAGTATGTATGGATATGGACGTTCATTTTAACTTTTATAAATATGCTATACAGACTAATTTAATGCTACAAATTATTGGTTATGCATTACAAGGCTGACTTAGCTATATTTATAGTAATACATGTGCTATTAGACTACACTCGCCAAACACTTCTACTTGGCTAACTCCAGAAGCTTAAAGTAAGTATGCGTACAATCAAACAACTTTAAAATACCAATATCAGAATTGTAATTCTTTCTCATATAAATTTAAAAATCGCTGAAAGTTATGATTGAATATATTTGTATACTTTTACATTGTTTAACATTCACTTTCATCAAATATCAATAAAGAGTCATAATGAACTTCTAATGAAAACTTGTTCTTGCGGCTAATTATAGGTGACGTGGTATAAGAGTCGGCTGCCAGCCTGCCAGCCATTTTACATTAATTTGCCCGTCATAAATGCAATACCACTAATTAATCGTTATTATAATTTTTATAATCTACATTTGCACACATGAACTGCAATAGCCTGCGATTATAAGAATTCGCTATTGATTGTGCTTGCTAACTTCTTATTAGTTATTACTTTATTACCTTTATTTTGTTATAATTTATAATTACATAAACGGGTGATCCATCGACTTGTTTTTGTGTTCAGCCCTTTTTAACATAAGAGGCGCGAGACCCGGGATTTACACCTGCTTCACTTGGTTTCCCAAGCGAGCGCGTTACCACTGGGCTACCACTGTCTCTATCGACTAGTATAAAAAATGAAAATTGAAAAATAATCTTACTGATATAATCTATACATATAATAAAATTGTAACCGATCGCTGTCTGTACATGAAAGATATATTGGGTAAAAAACGATTATTGGGGGTATTTGTTAACGCAATAGAATCCAAAACAATGATATTTCGAATTTTTGTCTGTTTGTGTTTGTCTGTAATTTATTGTAGAATATAAAATAATAAAATTATTTTATTGTAGACTACCTGATTCTTAAATTGTCTTTTTATTTATGAAATTAAACAAATACTTAATGTTTAGTGAGGCTTACCACAATGAATTAGTGAAAACCGCAAATCGATTAGGACGTTTCTGAGATTAGCACACACAAACCACAGACAAACATGTATGTGACAGCGATCAGTTACAATTTTATTATATTTACTAGCGACTCACCCTCGCTTTGCTCGGGTTTTTCCCTAGGTTGATTCCCCATTCAAACTTTCATCCCCATTTTCACCCCCTTAAGGGATGAATTCCTGGATAAAAATCCTATGTCCTTCCCAGGGTCTCAAACTATCTTCTTACCAAATTTCATCTAAATCGGTTCAGTAGATCCAGAGATTATCCCCTACAACGTCACAAACTCACAAACTTTACCTCTTTATAATATTCGTAGAGATAGATTATACCAGTAAGAATATGTTTAATATATTTTTTATCTTTTTGGAATGCTTTTAATAAAACCTTTGAAAAATTATTTGCAATATAATCTGAGCGCGAACACAATGACTAGTAAAATATTTACAGCAACTTCGTTAGTTTGTAGGTATGTTAAGTATGTATCTACCGGAATTTTCATAATGAGTTTCAGAAATGTAATAATATATTTGTTCGAAACTTATTTTTTTTACTTTTTCGTGCCGTTCATGTTAAATGAATAACTACATGCATGTAATTGTACAGTGTAGATCGGAACTATACAAAAGAACAACAGATTTGTGGTTCGCTGACCTTTTGGCTACATGTAGGATTTTACATTATTGAAACCACAAAGACCAAGTGTCTTTGTGAACTTGGAAGTCAAATAAGAAGAGACCTAATTATACATATGTAAAGAAAAATAGACGGTCATTTTTAAAGTCCTACGTCATTGAATTAATTATTTAACCGATAACTTTAGTACTTTAAATTTACTAAATGTTTTGTTCATAATTATGCCATAAACTGCATCAATTAATATATTATGTGGATCTTAAGATGAACATTTTTTAGGTAAAGAAATAAGTAAATATATAATTAATATGAATAATGAACTCAAAACAATTTATTTGAAAGTTATTTTTATATTTTGTTGAAATAATAATTTACTATTTATATTTAAAAAAAACTTTAACTCATTGGATATATTTTTAAGTTGCGGCTTATTGTTTCAGTTTAAAACCAAGCAGCTTGATAACTTAAACACGGACAGTTTCAATGATGTCTTGGAACCGCGCGATGTTAGAGCAGAAGATCAAAAGCTAGAGCATCCGCATAGACTTCGTCATAATAAAATGGTACACGCTCAAATTTCTCGGCTTGCTCGAAGCCAGGATCAACTAGACGAGTATCAACAAAACTTGCAAACTCAAATACTCGATGTCCAAAGACGTCTTGATAGAGTTGAAGAACCTAACTGGAATTTAGTTTCTGCAAGAGTCGACTTTCTTGAAATTCAAAGTAATGTATTGAGAGATGAAATTAAAAACGTCTCGCTGAAAATATCTGACTTCGACAAAGTGCATGCTTCTATGTTAGAATTGCGTGAAGACGTCGAAAGTATTGAAAATAAAGCAGACAAAACCATTCCTGAGTTCCGGAAGGAAATTTCTAAACTTGACGTTAGTTTTGCACAGGTGAGTCAAATAATTGTAAATGTTATAAGAATAAATACATAAATGATTACTTATCAAATTGATACTCTATAAGAAGTAAAAAAGTCATCTCTTTTCGATTTCAGTTTCTTAATTTTTCTTCTTATTCGACTTTTATTTAAAAGTAATTCTGTAGTAGATAATTCATCATTTTATATTTGGATTTGCTTTGCTCTATGTAGAGTACTCTAAATGTATTCTAAATATATTTTCCTGTAAATAACCAATTTATAATCGTATTTTTTTAAATGTAGCTCAACGCCCAGTCTTCCTATTTAAAAGAAGACCAGGAGAACTTACGGCAGTCAGTGAAAGCTATTGCTGTAAGTGTCAGCAACACTATCGATCGCGCTGAGATGGATCGTTTGGTAATTAAGAGAATAAATGAATCTATTGCTGACCTGGAAACTCGATCTAAGCAACATTATTATCGCCTCAATGATCACATTCTTAAGGTAAATATTAAGTGAATTAATAGAAAGTTTAAATATTTTTTAAAACCAAACGGCAAGTTAAATAACACTATATATAAATAAATATTTTTTAATGACTACCTAGTACCTACATTATATTCAATTTTTAATATCAAGTTATGATTATACCCATTTACATGTAATCTAAAGGATGCATCTTTATTTAGTAAAACACATTAAATTCGTTTTCATTTCTACAGAGTGAGGCCAACCGATCTGAACTCGTCACCAACGGTAACATTGGGATTCCCTTACCACAGCTAATTGGCGAAGTTAAGGAACTACAACCTATTGAGCATGAATATGAGGACCTTGTGAGTCAACTTCCCAGAGATTGCTCCACCGTGACTGGTCCAGCAGGCACTTACCTTATCCACTCTGGTAGATCACCTGTCGAGACTTGGTGCGACAGCGGCAGTACTCTTGTTCAACGTCGCTATAATGGGTCGATCGAATTTAATCGGAAATATGAGGAGTATGCTCGTGGCTTCGGTAACCCAGCTTCGGAATATTGGCTCGGCTTGGAAACTATTCATCGTCTAACTTCTGACAATTGTTCATCAATGAAAATCGAAATGACCGATATCTACGGTAGCGCATGGAACGCCGAGTATGAACACTTCTCAGTGGGCAGCGCTGACACTGGTTATATTTTGGATGTGAGTGGTTACAAAGGAAATGCTAGCGATGCGTTCGAATATCAGAACCATATGGAATTCTCTGCTATCGATCGCGATAGAGACATTTCGAATACACATTGCGCTAGGAACTATGAAGGAGGCTGGTGGTTCTCTCACTGCCAGCACGTAAACATCAATGGAAAATACACTCTCGGACTAACCTGGTTCGATTCCGCACGGAACGAGTGGATCGCTGTGGCCACCAGTGAAATGCGTCTGTTTCGCCGGCCTGGATGCTCTTAAATTAATGGATTAAGCATTTTAACATTTCAATTTTATTAATCAATTATATAGTTGCACACTTGTGCTTTTAAATAAAACATTATAATAATTATCATATACCAAAGATAAACTAGTAAAACAATGGTACTTATATTTAAAGTTTCAAATAAAATAGTAGAGATGTTTGTAGTTAAATTATATGCTTGTCTTGCTGCTTTATATTTGTTTCAGTAAACTTTGACGACATTTGTGCTCTTTTCATAATTTCCTTCACGTATAATTTATTCACTGTCTATTATTTTTATCCATTCTATTATTGCAATTACAGTTAATAAAATTTACAGCCTAATTTAATACATATTATTGATGGATAACTAGATGGCGGCTAATTGTTAAGGCATAAGATGTGATTTAAGACGATTTATTGTTATTTTGTAGAATTTGCGGTATCTTATTTATTTCTTTTTTATCAGTAATTATAGTTTTTAATAATATGTTTATTTAGAATTATTTGGTTTGTATGTAATTAGTTTAATATCACAGTGAGATTGATTTATTAACTTTTACTATATTAATTTGTGTAAACAATAATAACTTAAGATTTTAAGCATTCAACTATTATGCTTTTTAAATTCTAGGAATTATGTGGTTCACTCTACTTGTGGTGATGTAACTACGCGATAGTAAGGAAATTCACGTGAAGATCTTCAGGTGTGATCTATAAAATATTTTAGAATTATGTATCAACAAAATATTTTTTATGATAATAGCGTTCGTAGTTACAACACTAACTCGTAAAATTCTAGGATTGATAGTAATATTTTAAGATATAAATGATTTAGTTTTATGTTTATTGTGTCATATTATTGTATTCATTTCACGTTATGTATATATAAGGTATGTTAACTTGGTCAGCGACAGCTTTCCACAGTGGATTGAGGTATTACTTCCGTTTATAAGTTACTTTAATGTGGATATATTTGCTGTTCATTTCATCCCTTATACATTTTTGCACAATTATTAAGATTTTTCCTGATTACTATGTTTCACTCAACATTATATTCTACCAAGGGATTTAAACCAAATAAATTTAATAAAACTTATCTACTTCTTTTATTTGGTAATACCATAAAAAAATATTGATTACTTATATTGCAATTTTCTATAAAAGTAATTAAAAAAGAACTCGTCTAAATTAAATAATTTGGTACTCATTATCCGAAGCGCTGTCGTAACTAAGATTCGCGTTTAACAAAAAATGCTGATTAATGAACGGGTAGGTTTTCAATGTTTGTTTTAAGAGTGATAGATTCTGCTTCTTTTTAAGCAAGTGAGTATTATTTTGCTCCAGATCCTTTTTTATTTCTTCGTACAATTCACTTTTCTTTGAATGAACTTCGCCATCGTTAAGGAAGTCTCTTATATCATATGTGTTACCTAATAAGTTTACCAATTCGAGATCGAACGGCATTTGCCGGATGTTCTTGTAAAATACATGTCGGTGTGGTGAAGTTTTTGAAATACTAGTCTTGGAAAGCCATCCCATTACAATGTACGATTTTGTTGCTTGAAACAACGGAGTCAGATCATCTATAGACAACTTGCGTAGAAGCATGACATTATAAGCTATCCATCTAAAAAATTCTTTTGCATTAATTGAAATTATCGCACTTAATAAAATGCGAAATAAATTGGCCAAGAACACAGATTTTATATGTAACACTAGCGACTCAGCGTCGCTTCGCCCAGGTTCGTCCCTAGGTACGTTTTGACGCTTAGTATGGAATAGATTTTAGTTTAATTTTTTTTTCATGAATTTTTCCCGATGTTTTAATATTTATTCTAATATTCGAGATGAAGACAAGTCCAACAAAACAATGATCATAAAAATCGGTGCAGCAGTTCTCGAGTTATAAGTGTTGTAAATAAACCCGACTTTGTTTTATATATTACGTAAGATTTATATTCATTACTTTGTATGATACTGCATGCTAGTGTACACGAGCGGCAGGTCGTGCGCGTAGCCACAACCAAAACCCCAAGAAAGAATGCCGGCTAACTTCCCATGTACTACGAGTGGCGCCCCAGGTACTGCCGAGCATGCGAATGAAGGATACTCTTCCCGAACTGCTCCGGCGCATAACATACCCGCGTGTAGTTTTATTCCATGCTGAAAAAAAATTTTTGTTATGAACAATGATAATGGCCTGAATACAATTAATTTAAAAAATAATAAGTCCCGACCGTGTAAAAAGCGAATTAAAAAGATAAGAACAAGTTGACGAAGAAATATAGTATTATGCAGTCGGAACATACCTACATGATTTATACTAGCCGCGTGCATACACAATTAATTTAGCTTACCCTAATGTAGCCTTCACAATATAAATTAAGAGAAGCTATGTTGACCGAGACTGTCCTGAGCATTGGGTCAATTATTTCATCAGGAAAAAACTCTGACGCACGAGGAAGACATAACTCGTTTCCCTAAGATGAAAAAAATGAAATTATACATTAATTTTTTTGTAGAAAAATAGCAATTAAAACAAAACGATGCTATTGATTTAAATGTAGTTAACGCAAAATAAGACAGTAGTAGCCCAGCGGTAACGCGCTCGCTTGGGACGCCAAGTGAAGCGGGATCAATCCCAGCTCATGTATCTATTATATTTTCATATGCGAATCATTTCCAACATGATTACCACTTCTGAAAAGGTGAAGGAAAACGTCGTGAGGAAACCGCAAAAATTAACACTACTAATTCATAAATTCTGTAAAAATATAACACAACTAAAATATTTCCCAAAATAAGACTTGGGCAATTTAAAGACGTCTATTAGGTATATGCTTTTTTAATGTATGTTCACCGATTACTCGAAGACACCTGAACCGATTTGGTAAATTCTTTTTTTTTGTTTTTGACATGCCAGCCATTTAATTTATCAACCGATACAAATTAAAGCACACCGGCTTCGAAAATATCTGATTAGGTGTCTATTCTAAATGAAAACCCCTCTTTAAGCCATTTTTTACTTTTTAGTGTCTGGGATTCAGGTTTTTTTAAGTTTTTTTATTACAACGTTAACAGCAAAAACTTAAAATAACATCGTCATCTATACTAATATTATGAAGATGTAAAGTTTGTGACGTTGTATGAGGTAATCTCTGGGTCTACTGAACCGATTTAGATGAAATTTGGTAAGAAGATAGTTTGAGACCCTGGGAAGGACATAGGGTACTTCATTTTTATCCCTGAAATCATCCCTTAAGGGGGTGAAAATGGGGATGAAAGTTTGTATTGAAGCGAGGGTTAGTCGCTAGTTACTGATGAAAGATTCTCTTGTGTAATTTTAATGGTACTTAAAATAACTAGTTTCCAAATACCTTCCACACACGTTCACATTTATTTACCAAAACGTACCGTAAAATCACATCTGCCCCATCCTGTAACAAAACCAGTAGTGTCAATTAGTGGCATTTTTGGTATGATTAGTGAAACACTCTTTATGGAGGACCTGAAACATACAAACAATTGTGGCTTTACTATTTTGTAGGACAACATTGCCGCCATTTTCAATATCATGATATTAGATTTCATGTTAGGAAATACCACTTTTGTGCTCCAAATTCAAATACAAGTATATTACTGGAAATATTTACTAAATGAGACATTAACCTCGTCTTTAACTAATAATGTATGTAAGATTATGTACATTGTACATAATATACTATTATGTACATGCGAATTTGTATTTGTTAGATTTTTTTAAATATATACTGATATTCAATTATTTTTTTCAAATTCAAAATATTTTACACAAACGTTCTTTAAACATTTTTTTTGTAATCGTTAGAATCACTTATTCTTAAAATAATAATAAAATCTATATACATATAATAAAATTGTAGAGGTCGAATGTCTGTACATAGAAAAAAAATGCTAAAAACCAGGTCAGGGGATTTAAGAAGAGAAATAGAACAAATCCAGATTTTTTCATTTTTTTTTATTCCCTGTCTGTTTGTCTGTTTGTAGGGGCTAATCTCCGAAACTGTTGGACCGATTTAAACGAAATTTGCGTGGTGGTACCTTACATTCACAACATTTTAGATACTTTTCTTCCCGAAAAATTAAAAAGTTCCCGTGGGATCGTAAAAAAACTATAGTATCTTATACATCTTAGTATTCTAGTAGTGGTTCTAGTAGGTATATTGTTTCGATGTATCTATAAAAGTTTAGCCAGCATTTGTCTTGTAATTGTAGGAAAACAATTTTTTTTTACAAAAGACTGTTTAGGCTCGAACACTTTGTACAAAATATTTACATATTATATTGTGTACAAACCTTCTTCGTTTATCACTCATTCTATTTGTGCAAATTGTATCAAAATCCGTTGCATGGCTTAATACAAGTAAGACCAAAAACAGATATAGGCAGATAGTGACTTTGGTTTATACTACAAAAAAAGATCAGCGACTTGCACCCGAACTAAATTTTGTACTCTCCATGAAAACGAGAGATTTTACCGCACTATATTTTAATGTGGGTGGTAAATATAATATACAATATATACCAAAATACAACTTAATACTTAGAACTTCTAGATATCTCTATATAATATTATATATCTCTAAATTATACTAATACATTACTTAAAATTAAACAATTAATATAAATGTTGCACAATGTTGACTTCTCATTCAGAGAAATCTCAATCTCGATCTCACAAATTATTTTTAATAGATTTTCTAAATATTTTTAATGATTTGGAACGTTGTATATGAACAGGCAAACTATTCCAGAGTTTGGTTGCTTGTACAGAGTAGGAGCACTCGAAGAATTTACTTAAATGTACAGGTATTCTTAGCGTCAAATTCTCTGAAGATCTTAACCTATTTGTATGAGTTCCTAGAAATTCAAACATCTCCTTTAAATAAGGCGGATATATTGGATTAAGCAATACACAGTACAGAAGAGAGGTAATATTATGTAGATTCCGGCGATAGTGGTTTGGGAGCCACTTGAGTTTCGTTCGAATTTCAGAAATGTGATCATATTTACGCAAATTAAATATGAATCGAATTGCTAAATTTTGGAGTCGCTGAAGTTTATTTAGATGGTCGTTGGCTAGATAATTATTACTCATTTAATGTACATATTTTTCGAGAAAATTGTCGCTACCCAGCATACATTCTACAATCTACAGGCGTAGCTACAAACTTGTCGAAATTTTCGATGATCCTTTTTCATTATCATGGTCTTGTAAAAATCACTCTTGTGTGTTATTTTTAATACAAAATACTTTTCATCTGTTAAGTAAACTGATGAGGGACAGCTCTACTTCAGATCTCTTCCTATTGCAAATCTTTTAAATGTAAAAAATAAAGGGCCTGTACTAGTATACTTAATACTTCAGCGCCTATGTGAAAGATATTGTAGACACAAATATATACACACACATCCTTTTAATACTATTACATTTTTGATTAAGACCTTTTTATTATTTTTTTTATAAATTACGTTTGTGACAAATTGGTAAAAAGAAGAAAGTAGTGACATAAAAAGGCATACAATTATATGCACGATTTTAATTTCTATTCCAATGATAATAGATTTAAATAATCTAATATTGCTGCAACGGTCATAATATAAATGTTCGAAGTTAAATACGCTCTCTACCAATCTATTACACCAATGATTTAATCATTGATAACTGTTAAATACAGAGTGAGTGGGCTTTCACCAGCCTTTTAGTGATGAAGCAATTTTTAATTTACTTAAAATTTGCTTTATCACACAGCGATAGCCTGTCATAATTTTAGTAATTAAGTAACTTAAGAAGTATTCATAAGTAGGTGTACTTAGTTTATTTGACATATTAATAATCTAAGTAGGTATAAATCAATGCGACATTTCGTAGACAACCCAATTCTTGGGCCACGATGCTTATGATTTACTTAGTAGTATTTATATAGTTTCGTTTTGTAGAATATTTTTAAAAGTACAACATCGATATACATTTCATAAATAGCCTTCATCAATTAAGTATCAGCATTTAGTAGTCAAAACATTTGCTTTTCATTGCGCTTCCATCTACCAAATAAACAGTCTTCTTTTTTGTTGTATACATAGCTTGAAAGATCAGAGTGGATGTGAATTAATGGTAGAATAAAATAGTTACACATTGCTTTCTTACCTAAATATATTTTTACTAACTTCTTGCGAACATACCCATGGAAAGGTTGGATCATATTTTATGAGCAAATCTATAACTTTACATATTATTTTATAGGAGTTTAAATAATTTGATATAATTCTTACGGCTGTAAAGCCAGAGTCATCAAGTACTTTCTATTAAGTGTTTGGTTTCACAACATAACAAATAATACAATTTAAAAAATTAAAAAAAAAATATTTTATAAAGAAAATAAATAATATAGAAGTCGTGTGTAAATCAAAAAGAACTTAAAGAACTAATATTATGTCAAGCTGTTTGTTTTTTGTTTCTTTGTCCTTCTTTCACGTCGAATTGATGAGTGTTTGATTTTTTGTGTGGAGATTGTTGGAGGGCTGGAGAGTGACATAGGCAACATAGAGAGACGTTTACCGCGGGAGATTATCTCATTCCTACGGGAAAACACGTTATAATACAACCCAAAAAATATTTATTATCAATATGACTTGAAACTTGGTATTAATGCTCTTCAATACAATTAAATAAATACGGTTTTAGCATTTTTCGAAATTCATCTCATAAGGGGGTAAAATAGGTAATGAAAGTTTGTATTAAACTTACTTTTTTAGTTTGGTTTTGTAGTTTTAGCGCGAACGAAGCCGCGGGTTCTGCTAGTAAAGAATATTCGACAAAGATCTTATACGAGAATTATTTATGAAGTGTGAAAATATTAACTTTTTAGTTTAACGGATTCATACAGAAGAAACTTTCATGGTAAGTTCATATATCCATACTTAATATCCATACTTAATATTATAAATGTGAAAGTGTGTTTGTTTGTCTTTCTTTCACGTTGAAACGGAGTGATGGTAGTCCACACTTGGGAAGTTGGCGGTGGATCACCCCCGGCTTTAGCCGTTGGTCTTGCGCATTAACTCTCACCGGTCGTGTCAAAGTATCGTCCTATCGGACTTTTAGAGTAAAAGGAATAGTGAGTGCACTTGTGTCTGCGCGTACACTTGTGCGCTATAATATTTCCTGCGCATCTGCCAAGTCTCAATGAGATTGGTCTCCTTGGAATGTTTACGAAATATGTATGTACATCGAATTGCTTGTGTAAGCTGGTGCTACCCCTTAAAAAAGTAGTAGGTACCAACACAATTCTACATTTCACATTCCGTGTCACACTTAAAGAGATGGGTGTCACTCCCAATCGTGTGATACCCGGAGTGTAGGTACTGGTCGTTGTGCCACTGACTTACCATATGTTTGAGAGCTACGATTTACGAAACTATAGATTATATAGACAAACACGGATTGAAATTGACAATGTGCCAAATTAGGGGAGGGAGTGTCTCAGACTTCTGACTTAATCTTCAGTATTCTATTGTGGTGCATGTTATGATGTAAGACTGCTATGATGCATATCGCTTTATAACTAATTAAATTAGCTTAACTTCTCAGAAATCGCACATCCACTGCATTCATTTTCATCATCCATTCATCTCTTTCATACTTCTCCTCCCACAACATCTACATAGTAAAATTAGTATCAAAGCTCCATTGTATGCTGCAAAGTTATTTCTACATGTAATTAAATAAAAAATATCTAACTCACTTGAATACGACATCTTCATAAAACCTGAGCATAGCGAGGTCTGCGGCGAGCGTGTATGGGTCGAAGTTTTGGTGTATAACAACTAATATGACAGTCAGGAGCGAAGTTCCCCGATCTGAGTAGTTTTCACCTACAACTATTCGCAACTCACAGACGGGTACACTGAAATATGAATCATCTGAATTATTCGCAGTTCTATTTAGTGTGGGTATCTACAGCTCTATTCATCTTACTTTAGCAATGTCCAGTATAAATTCTTAGGCTTTGGTATGCTTTTAAAACTCTAAAAATCAACTATTGAACTTGTTTCTCTTGCAGACTTTTATACGATAGGGATAACGAATCCATATCCAAACAAATATTATAAATGTGAAAGTGTTTGTATTTTTTTTGTTTCTTTGTCATTCTTTACCGTCGAAACAAAGTGACGGAATGGCGTGATTTTTTGTGTGGAGATAGCTAAAGCTACTTTTTACCGCGGTCGATTATCTCAATCCCATGGAAAAACACGCTATAATACAACGCACAACAACTATCTATTTATTCCATAACGCTAAAACGTACCTAGGGACTCGGGAAACGTACCTAGGGAGCGTCCCGCACTCTCACTTCACTCGGGTTCGAGACGCTACAAAATATCTAGATATAAAGGTACGATAGGGATTTAGATATAGTTATGGATTACGT